TGGCCCCAAGGATGAGCTGGGAAAGAGAAGAGTGTTTGATATCAGATACCTTGATATATTGTCTGTATACAGTATGTTGTGAATGTGTTTTTAAATGCACTTGCTGTTAAAGACCACTATCTCGTGAGTTCAGCTGGGCAGGAGTAATGTGGACGTTAAGGCTGAAGGAGCCTGGGAAGCAGCAGCAGCCATAACTGCAGTGTGCAGCTTTGCAAAACCCATTCTTTGACCCGATGTTTAACACACACCACAAATCCACTGGCTCAGTTTCGGCCCACATGGCTCTAGGCTCTAGTAATGGGTGTGTGAAAGTTTGATCCATATACATGCAGACTGGGAGCAGTTTGTGGCTTCTCGTGTTCGAGCAGCTCTCAGAGGTTCTCACAGATGTAAATATCATGCTCTTCATCTGGACACCTCAATAATTCCTCTAACTTAAAGAGTTATATTAAGGAAAATTGTCAAATTCAAAGCGTCAGAGCTGAGATATCTCGACCTTGCATCGGACCAGATAGCATGTCTTTGCCTAGTTAATGCCGGAAAAACACAATGCCCGATGTGCTCGTTTTGTTAAAAAGAAAATGGACAGTAGACTAATGAGTTTGGTAGTGCCAAGACAATCAAGGAAATTGTCAGAAGATTTACAGACCAGATCATTTTTAAATTACAGTTTTAAAAATAAGTGTTTTAAAAGGAATACTATTATTTGCTTTCCCGCCGAGAGTAAGGTTAGATAACCGATACCACTCATGCTAAATGTGGAGCTACAGCTAGGATATATTTGTGCACAGATTAAACCAACAAGATGTTCATTTAAACTTTAGATACCTTCTGTTAGCGCTTGCTGCCCATGTTTGTGCTAAGCTAAGCTATCTGACAGATGGCGGTAGGTTCGTATTTAGCGCACAGACATGAGGGTGCCTATTTAAGTACAGCTTTTAAAGCGAACAAATGACAAAATATGAATGAGTAACGGTCAAAATGAGCTCAACATTTTTTTTTCATATCTGTACTGTCAATTCTTGTTATGTATTGGCCGAAACATTCACAGGGCAACAGCAACAAACTTGCCCGCATTGATAGCGTAGCAGTTTATCTATACATTTGTCTATTTGTAGCTAATCTAGCTAATCTAAACGGAAAGCATGGATTCTAGATGGATGCAAGAAACACACATTTAGGAGAGTAATCAGGCTTTGAAATGTGAGGAAAACAGATTAAACCTATTGATGATAATTATAGTTCTTTTAAGCAGTTCTCGGCTCCCAGGTCAAAGGAAACACACAATTAAGTCTTTAAAGCATTACTAGTTTACACAACACGCCCTTCTCCGGATCAAAATATTTATCCCGTGTTAATCCAAAACCTCTGTGTTTGTGTGTAGGTGTGCAACCCACTGAACCCAGTGCCCTCCATGCATTCTTGGTATTATTGTCGTCTGTGCTTTTGTGTACCACAGACACTATTATTTAGTCACTTCACTCCCTCTCAGTATTCACTTAATTCTGCACTCCCAGGCCACTGAACTTAATAAAGAGCCTGTGTGTGTGTGTGTGTGTGTGTGTGTGTGTGTGTGTGTGTGTGTGTGTGTGTGTGTGTGTGTGTGTGTGTGTGTGTGTGTGTGTGTGTGTGTGTGTGTGTGTGTGTGTGTGTGTGTGTGTGTGTGTGTGTGTGTGTGTGTTGTGTGTGTGTGTGTGTGTCAAAAAGGAATTAAAACCCCATTTTGGAGTTCTGAGGTTTTTGAGGTCAGGTTTCCTTCATGTCACCACCAAGATCGATGGATGTGACCTCTGACTGCTCCAATTTGTATATAAACATAGCACCGGCCAATCACAGCATCGCGTGGGATGGTGCCAGCCAATCAGAGTGTCTGGCAGCATCATGCTCCGTGGCACTCCCATCTTTTGTCCGTCAGGATTAGTGCCATGGCAACGCTGGTAGCCTGGGAGGTGAGTTTCCCAAGGCAGTGGGACCGGGACAGAAACAGGCCGTTTAGTCCAAGTATTGCTTCCTTCCCCGGCCAATTGGGGAACAGAACTGGAGTGGTGTGTCGGTTCGGGTCACTCTGTGGCTTCCAACTCCAAAACTTCCACCTTAGATGCCAACTCTAATGAGGTGACATCCTGAGCCACAAGCTTAAAGTGTGTTTGTCTGTGTGTGTGAGTAAGTGGGTGGGTTGGTGAAGGGGCTGTCCTTGTGTGTACTCTTCTGTGTGGGACACTCTGTAGAAAAGTCACCCCACTCTCCTCTCGCTTTTCTGTTGGTGGACTACATTAGCCAGAAGGGCGGAGGGCCAGACAGCTGAAATCACCGCTGCTGATGAAGCATGTGACTCCAGACCGAGGTCCTTTTGTTTGGACAATCGCAGCCAACACACAGAGCCCGGGAATAGCAGTGTGGCATGGGAAATGGCAAGCATGGGAATGGGAATTATTAAAACCAGCTTCTGTTCTCCAGAGAAACCGCCTGTATTGGGTTTTTAAAGTCACAACTCTTAAGATCTTCATCAAATACAATTATATGATATATAATTTATTCGATTTTTGTCTCAACACTTCCCATTCAATGTATTTGCATTCTGCAATGACCTTTTTGGACAGTAGTTCTCATTGTTGGTGGCCGAGACCGCCATTCCCAAGCTGGATTAAAATTGCCTTCAAACGCCTAAGTTATTCATAGGAAACAATGCACGCTTCACATTAAATTGGCTGGTTGGATGCAACAGCAGTAGGAAATGGAAATGATGGGTTTGCAGCCACTTTATGCAGCTCTGATAGAGTGTGAGGTGAATGAGCAGTAAACAGAGACGGCCAATATCAGTGATGCTGGATATGCATGCCTATTATCCTGTGAATCACATGTGCGTGTGAAAACAATTTCACTGGTGGACCCAGAAAGTAAAAAACAAATGCTTTAAAAAAGACATGTTATTACGCATAATTGTAGAAAAGCTAAATGGTATCAAAAACAGGGTTTGAGATTATTTAATCTTGACTTTAAGTGGTTAGGAAATGAGTATTAAGATATGATTTAGAAAACAGACAACTACTGTAGCATGAATTACAAGACAGCCATGTTTTTCAATGTGTTCTGTCAAACTCAGAAACCCAGAGACAATTGAAGTCGAAGCCAAGATTGTCAATCAAGGTGGGAGACCAAAATAGAATCACTAACCACAAGATTAGCCCAACACTAGCACTATCCACAATCATTTGCTGGACAGTAGCCAATCATGTTTTTCTAAGTGTAACTGAAGCCAGCTTCACACAGCGTACACTGGCTGGGGCTGCTGGATCCCAGCCAGGATAAACCGCACAACCCTTGTCGGTTCAGTGTCTTCTAAACAGAGGAACCAGTGATTTTAGTACTACTCAGTCTGTCCTTACATATATACCACGGAGTTCAGGAAGTTACATCACCACTATGAGCAAAGCAAGTTTTAATAAGAAGAGATCAGTTTAAGAACATGAAGCATGAGGAAGAGGAAAACTCTTTGGTCGAATACTACAAGGGTAGCGGATGATCATGATGGTGGTCCAATTCTTACAATAAAGTCACATATGTATTGAAATATATGATGTGTAGACAGCTGATGTATCAGATATGACATACATGTGTAAATAAAGAAAGCTTTTGACTGCATGGGAAAGCAAATGAATAAAATACTGGTAAATGTATGAACGAAGATTAAACAAAATGAAAATCTCTCCTTCTCCTTCTCTCCTATGCTGGATTTGTTTCAGCTGTTTACATTGCAGCGAAATCACATCTATAGCCTCAACGCTAGAACGAAACACACACTGTGCCATTCTCCTCTCACTTCCCGGCGCTAAATTCTAGTAAGCCCAAAGGATGACAGCCGGCCGTGTGCTTCGGGGTCATTTCACGAGGCAGTAGGTTACCTTGGAAGAACTTTACAGATTTAGCTCCACTATATTTCATCTTTAATTACACATGTATTTGTTCCCTGTTTGGGTTAACGGCAATATGCCGTTTTGCAATCCCAATGCAGACCACCAAACGGCAATTTTCGGTTCAAAGATAATTTCTGAGACTCGCTCTCGTTCCCACATGCCACACAGTCATGTTAGAGGGATCTAAGCATGCATCCTGCCAGCTGTGCAAAGAGCTTAACCGATTCTGTCTTCAAGACACAAAACTGCCAGCCCTCTCTTTTTTCCTCTGCATGCCTCCCCTTCTTTGGGCTTCATGGGTGAAAGACAGCGTATGAAGCCTGCACACAGAGCCCACAAGTACTATTACCACACTGTGAAAAAAAAGTAAAAGTTCTGCAATCAAAACCTTACTTAAGTAGTAGTTTTATCAGAAAAATAGTAAAGTAAAAGTACTCGTTGTGCAGTAAAATGTTCAATTTCACTGTTTTTACTATATGATATTTTTGGATAATTTATTACTGCGTCATTAATGTGTGGGCCTTGTTGCATTTCAGTGATGTTTTAATGAATGCACAATATTAAATGCTTTATTAACTGTAAGATAGTCTTAAAAGTTTCCTTTTCAACTTTGGGACTATGCATTTTCCAGCTTATTTAAAAAGGATGTTTTCAACATATAAAGGATGGCTTCCTATAGTTCATCATAAACATAACATTGGTAAAAGACAGTCATTTTAAAAGTTAGTAAAGCTGTCAGAAAGCTGTAGTTCAGTTAAAAGTACACTTTATTTATAAGTAGGCTTGAGTGAATGTACAAACTAGCTACTACATGAAATGAATAATGGGTGTTAGTAAGTATACCTATGCACCAACAGTATGGGATGTGCCAGGACGCTTTCATTACTTTATCTCTTAGCGACAAATGAAACATATACAGCCATAGATTGTTTAGTACCTAGCCCCGAGTGCCTTCCTGGGACTAAACACACTCACTTCAAAAGTCGGGGCATGACGTCAGACTAAACGTGCGCACGGTCTGATTTGTATAAACACTGTAAGCAAACACGCGCGAAACGTTAACAAAAACGTTTTGATTCTCTTTACACTGTTATTTTAACACTCTAAAAAGGTTATTTGCAAAAAGAAAACTGAGAGACCACGCACAAGAAAACTGAGGCGTTGCTGTGACAACCAGAGCAACAAGCTTTGTTGACATTAGCAACCAAAGCCTAGCGCTCGGACCTTCATGCTAAGGTTAGCTGTTATGTTAGCTAGCAAGGAGTTTACAACACGTCAAGGTAACTAATATATGCGATATAACGTGGTTTATTTTGTATAAACAATGGACTCAAATTCGTTGTTCTATTCTTTGGAACTGGTCGCCGGTAGCGGAAATACTTTAAAACGTTGAGCAAAGAACCGCTTTGCAGACTTCCCTGGTCATCCTGAAGAAAAACTACAAGTTCCATCGAATCTTGTTTTGGGGCAAAATATTGGGATTAAAGGAGGATTACTTCATCGCTCAGGGGAGAGGAGAAGATGAGATGAAGGATAAAAAGACTCTTTATAGGTAAGATAACCGTGGGTATGTGTTCCATTGTGGCAGGAGTACTTTATATCTGCCGTTGACAATGTAATGTACCTGTTGGTCCTTTGTCCTCCAGCTTCAACTGCATGGACTGGATGTTGCTCGCCCCCGCCACAGACTCTGTGATCGAGGAGGTGTCCAAAACTGCAAAGGGTCGCTTCGTAGGAGACCCCTCATATGTGTATGAGCATGTTGAGATCCACAGGCCAGGAGGGAGGGATGATGCAATACAGGAGGAGGTGGTGGTGGTGAGTGTGTCAATTAAGAAAATTGTGATCAATACTGTGAAGTTGTACATTGAACATAGTACAAATATTAAGCCGTAAACTGAACTTCAAGATCAAGTGTTAATTGTAATATTAGTCGTTTTTTCATAAACATTATTCCATTCATTGGCTGTTATTAGGGCTGGGCAATATATTTATACTATATCAATAACATAATGATACGATATTGTCTTTATCGTTAGGGTAATGGATACTCTAATATTGTAAGTGTCTTTTCCTGGTTTTAAAGGCTACAATAAAGTAAAGTTGTGTTATTTTCTGAACCGACCAGACATTAAAGATATTCTATTATCTGCCCTTTCTCACATAGTCAATAATTCACAGTACTAATGATTATTTATCACATTTTTCATAATGTGAACATTTTTTGAAAGCATTAATGGTCAACCCTACAATATTGTCACATATATATCGAAGTATTTGGTCAAAATTATTGTAATTTCCTTCATATTGCCCAGCCAAAACTGTAATCCAAAGAAAAAACTATTCAACACAACATATTGCAGTAAAACTATACCTAAAGCCATGTGGGACCAACATGAACTATACAACAAAAGATGAAAATGCAGAAGAGACAATGTCCTACCTCTACCAACATACTGTATATATTCAGGCGCACAATATCTCCAGCCATCCATCTCTGCAACAAAGTACTATTGTAATCAATGAAGAATTAGTGGGAAAGAGAATTTAATCTCACAGAGCTTCCTATTTTCAGTAAAAAAAAAAAATTCTGGCCGATATCAACGCTATCGGTACAGTCTCAAAATCCAGCTTTATGATGTACTGTTTTGGGTTTCAGACCAAAGTGAATGAGGAGAGCAGGCTGGCGGTCACAGTTCACCGGATCGATGAGGAAGCGTCTGTGGTTCCGCGTGGCGCTTACCTCAAGAGTCCTCATGGCCTCGTCCAGACCAACCGCAGCTTTGGTGGTACATATGTATTAGTCTTAGACATGGCATGTGTCTCTCTCATTGTGGAACATTAATGTTTGATGCTGCATGTCGTGGACTCTGAGGTGTTTCATTTATTTTAACTGGATGCATAAGATAAACAGCATTTTAGGAAATATTTCACAATACTTTGAGTTCTGATAGGCCTGCTTTTTTTAAATACATGTATATTCAGACAACATTTCACTGTAAAATTCCATCATCATTTCTCAGTTTTCAATGACTTGCGTGCTCAGGTCTTTCTCACTCAGAAGCTGGAAAGCTGGACAACTTTCTCCACTTCAGCAAAGCCAAGAATCTGAAGAAGAAATCCATCCTGGAAATGGGCGATTTAAACCCAGCCATCGACTTCCTGGATGTACTGAGTGACGACATTCCTAAAGGTGAAGGTATTTTTTCATCACACACAAACAAAAATATTATAAGAGTTGTTCTTTAATGATCACTGAGCATTAAGAGGTTTATAAAGGAAATGACAGTGAGTGGAATAAAGGTAATCTCATGATCTGGACCCATTAACACCCAGCTATTTTAAGCATGAGTAAGTGTTACTGAGGCCTTTAGAAAGCCAGTGGTAAAACAATGAGTTCCAACTCTGCTACATTACAACTAAATTACATGTGGTTTGAGCAAAAATCCCTTCGATGATTCAACTGACTGAAAGTCCAGAGAAGTTTCTTACCAGAGAAAATGGAGTCATTTTCACAGGAAAACAGTCAGTTAGGCACGGTTAAACTGATCAAATAAATGTTATTAAGCTTTCTGGGAATATGTTGAAAAAACTTTTTCATACAGAGGTCTGATAACCAGATGGCTAGTATAGTGTTTGGTAAGAAAATATGTTGGCCCACCTACTTTGAGCCTGGCCTCGGGTTTCTCCATCGGAAAATTACATAATTACTAGCTGAACACAAACCAGTTCATGGGAAGAGCTCCACCTGAAACATGATTGATGGGAAAGCTTACATCTGTAACCACAACAATTCAAGTAATAATACCCCTCTTTTAGCCAATTTAGGAGAAATAATCGCTGCCAATTGGTATCCAAAGTAGGGATGCCAGAAACTGACCATGATCAAATTCGAAAATCGGACAGCCCTGGCGAATATTATTCTGTTGTAAATCGTCATGGGAAGCTCAGACATTTGAGCTGTCGAACTGTAATACATATGTTGAAAAAAATTCAGGAAGCAAACAAAAAGCAAATATGGATACTGTGAAAAGCATGTGAATGGATACCGTAAAAGGGAAGATTTAGAATTAATTTAGCCGTGTCGAAGTTTGGAGATTAGACGCTGAGCTGGATGTGCTCCAGGCCATAGTGAATGTTGATAGAGTGGATGTAGAGTAAAGTGGATGTGTGTGAAAGAAAAAATGTTTAGTGCCCGTGACCAAACATGCAACAGATGTCTGATTTAGGAGAGCTTCCACATGTGTTTATGTTTGTGTGTGTTCTTTTGAGTTGATGCGGATGTCAGCGGTGTCATCGCTACAGCAGACATTACACAGCTGTCTCAATGCCACACTCACTGCAGCGTTCTGTACGGCAGATCGCATGCGTTTGCAGAAAGATTTTACTTTTTTTAAAAACGGGGCTCTGGGGAAAATGAGGTATGATGCATCTCCACTGAAAGACAGGTGCTTTCCTCTGAGACCTTAGGTTGGGATTCCCCTCTTTTTTTCACAACAATGGTGAAAACTGTTCCCAGCTCTTGATTTATGGCTTTTGGTTTCACCACCTGCAGCCGTACAGTTACTGATGACGGTGTATCAGTGCCATCATAGGTATAAAATATCAATTCAGAGAGAGGGGAAAGAGGTCATATTTAGAGAAAATAAAATCTGAATTTAGAAGATGAAACTTTTTATTTTACTAGGAACAAACGTTGTATATTTTCTTAGATTAAAGTCATACATTTGCAAGAAAAACTAGGATTAAAGTCACACATTTATAAGAAAAAAATCCAGATATTACACCTCTACCATGGATTCTTTTTTCTACAATTCATCTTTGAAATTACATCCTGAAGGCTCAACATGTTTTTATTTCTAGTTGATTCAGGATTTGCCAGATACATTAAAAAAAAGTGTTGAAACAATTATTTCTGGAAATCCTATCCCTTTGTGTGAAAGCATTAATCAAAGAGCTTTCACACCAAAGCAGATGCTGCACTTGTTCTCTATTTCCTGAGCTGTTGGGTTCATAATCACACCCAGACAAACACTACAAAAACTTGAAATCTTGCCAGAATATGTCTTTACACCTGATATAAGACATCATAACTTCAGAAGTAACACTGCAGTGAGATATCTGGTCTTGTTTTTAGACAATGCATGCATCACCTTGTTAAGTAAAATAATCTTATTTTGAGTTGTATCTCAGATGAAACACATATTCTTTTTACATATTTATTAGAAAATCACAGACTAACATCAGAAAACAGAAAACTTTGAGCATTTGCGGCTTATTTTGTAACACAACATTTCCTGATTCTGGTCAAATATACCGGTAGTTCAAAATGAGTTCTCCCAGCTAATTGCAAGATCTGATTTATCGAAATATCCCATCTTATTTCAAGAAATCTTACCAAGCTAATTTTCACTTGTTCTATTGGCAGATTTTTGTACTTATTTCAAGTGAAAACTTGTTTTCATTATTGTTTAACTTGTTTTTGGAGCAGCATTTTTTCCAGTGTGCTGAGAAACAGGTGAGAGACGGCAGATATCAAAAAGCACAGATTTATTGAGTATCCCTCGCCTCAAGAACGTGGATAGTGTAATCTTCTTGTTCTGATTTCCAAAGATCAATGTAGCCTCTATTTCATTCGTGCTCAAAATGACGTGGAAGTTATTGTCAGTCATTTACCTGGAGTGTTCTTTGTGTGCAGGGTCGTGGAGTCTCCAGCTGGAATGTGCCAGCAGAGTGCTGGTGCTGCGCAGCCTGCTGTGGCCCGGCCTGACCTTCTTCCATCTGCCAACGACCCCGCAGCACGGACACATCTATATCGGTGATGGCAGGAAGAATCTGGACCTTCCCTTCATGCTATAAAAAGATCTTACACATATTTACAAATTCTCCACTTCTGTCGTTCACATTTCTCAAATTGTATTTTAAGTTAATTATTCCAGGACATTTTGTTGCTTCTACCTTTAAACAAATAAACTCAAGAAAGCCCAGTCATGCAGTTTGTGTCTACAAGCGTTTGGTTCTGTTTAGTTGCTAGCTGTTTCTATACAGTAAACACAGGTTGAGAGGCCGAGTAATCACACACATTTTATTTGCACATTTGAGTATACACAGTGAGAATACCACCTACTTTGAAGCTGTGACACTGACCCAGTTGTTGCTCACATAAAGTTGTCAGAGAGTTCACTTCGAGGGCTTTTTAGAAAACCAGCAGAAACAGAAAAGATGGTTCTGGGTGAGGCTGAGGACACTTCATTAAAAGAGTGATGCAGCTTAATAAACAAAAAGGTAGAATAAATACAGATGGATGAAGCTTTTAGGCCTTATTCCCAAGGCAAGATCTACTTGGAACTCCCGCCCACTTTCGTCCAGTTGCTGCACAGATTGGTCAGGCTTCCTGTCCTTCAGTGTTTGATATTGATGTGCTTGACACCGTAACGCACGTTGTACTTGAGTAATGGGCTGCCGACAGCCATGCGCCTTTTACACCACTTTAGTCCAGTTTTAAAAATGGGTTTCACCGAGTCAATGGACCAGCAAGTCAGGTATCTGTACAACAAAAAAACATTGGTAGTTTTAGTTTCACTGGTGCTTGTGCTGGATAGATATTGATGAGGAACACATATATAAGCAGACAGAGGTGTACGTTACCTGTTCAGTTGTTGCTTGGGCTTACTGATGTGGTTGGCTGGAAGTTTTGGTTTGTGGTCAGGAAGCAGACCTGGAGCACAGAAAGTTAGAAAAAAAAAGCCACGTTTTTATACTTATTTGTATTTTGAGAACATTTAAATAAATAATAACCAGGATTGTGGATATAAATTGGGTAAAGGCAAATAACAGAAAAAGTCTGGTTGTTTCAGAAAATTAAATCACTGTCCTGTAATAAAGCCTTTAAACCAGAAAAAAAAAACACACTTTCAATATTATAGCCAAAATATTAGACAATATCTATTCCTATAATCCCAATATCGATGCAATATTCAATTATTATTATTATTATGAAAGCAATGGAAATAGTAATAATAGCTGGCATCAAGATGGACAAAACAGTTCAGCTTGAATACTTAATAATTTAATAAAGAACCAACAAATGATATTTAGTTTAGAGATTTTTGGCTTCTTACCATCTTGTCAGTGTCAGGTTATACACATAAGTATGTCTCTTCTAAAACACTCACTATCTTTCTGAGATATCTTGCAATCCTTACAATTGTGTCACCTAAGGTACCAAGTATCAGAGAATGAAGACATTTGACTTTGTATGGAACAAAGATTTAAAACCACAAACACTGACCTGCTCTGTGAGCCATCTGAACACAGATGGCGATCTTGCGATGTTCCTCCAGACAGAGGCCGGTGATGCTCCTGGGCAACAAGCCTCCGTCCGGCCTGATGAACTGACTGAGCAGCAGGACATCCTGGAGAGGGGGAAAGACAACCACAAACAATAAACCACTGAAAGACTTTTCATAATGTCTGAGATCATGTGGTTACTACTGTGTACGCACTTACCGTGTAGTTGTATTTGTTCTGCAAGTTCCATCTGTAGATCGGACATTTGGCTTCAGGGTTAGGAGGCTCTGGAGCCTCTGGAGCGTTCAGTATGTGTCCCTCAATCTGTCCAAGTGCAATAATTTGTTAGGGTACGTTTCTTGTTAGGTTGACCAAAATATAGATGTGCTGATGGAACATTTTTTAATAATTTTTTTTAATCAAGACTCTCTCTCTCCCACTATAGATGAGAGCAACGCATCCTGGTACTTGCCCTCTACGCAAGACCACGCCCCCTTTTGGGAGAAAATACTTGCTGTCATTTGAATGGAGGTAAATACAGAAGTTTTCGGCAATCACAATTAAAGGTCCCATGTCATGCTTTTCCGGTTATTACCCGTCCCCTTGTGTGTTATGAAGGTTTTTCTGCATGTAAACGGTCTGCAGAGTCAAAAACCCTCAAAGTACACCCTGTAGCGAGTAAAACTCTAACACAGAAAATACCTCCCCAAAACGCCTCGTTGGAGATTTCTCATTTTCCATTGTTTACTTCCTGGGTATCGCTACGTAGGGATAGCATATAACATATACGGCTGTACCGACGCCATTGTAAGACTGATGTTCCGCTCAGAGCGAGCCGAAAAAAGCACTGTTAGACATGGGCGGAGCCTCTTTGGTGGTTGACTAATCAGAACAGAGTGGCCGAGCTGACCAATCGGAGCACACTGGGCACACAGGGAGGGGGGGGGCAAGAGCTCCAACGAGCCGTTTAGGACAGAGAGTGAATACCGGTGAATACACATACTTTACAGAGATGCTGTATGCGAAACCAATGTGAGTTTGGAAAATTGCACAGTATAAATCTATTTTAGTATACCTCAACAATGGAATTATGATCAGTACGGATGCTCCGATCGATCGGTCACCGATCGAGATCGGCCGATACTCACTCTCTACCGATCGATCGGTGCTCTCTAAACATGCCGATCGCGAGAGCCGATCGCATGACGTAAAATACATGACACTTTTCTCTGTGCGCGGCAAAACAAGCTCGCCAAAATGGCTTCACCGGTCTGGCATTATTTTAAGATGTCCGAAAAAGACAGTAAAATAGCGGTATGCAACGTGTGTGAAGCAGAAATCCTGCAGCTCCACCCGCTGTGACGGACCGGTGAGCGGAGCAACACACACACACTAAGAGTTAGACCTAACACAGCTATTTTATCTACCTCTGGAACAAGCTAAACTAGTTATAAATATATTTATTCTTTACGGTCGGGTCACTCATTACTGGATCAGTGAGCTGCACACTGACAGGCTGTCAGGAGAGAGAGAGAGGGGGAGAGAGGAAAAGAGAGCGCTTCCGCTCATTTCTCCCATGTTATTATCCAAAGTGAATGTAAACTTGAATAATGTACATCATTTGAATGTAATAATTAAGTTGATTGTTGTTTGTGGAAGCTCCAGTGAATGAGCCCCATTAACTGAGTTTTAAACATCACTTTAAATGGAAGATTTAAAGTGATGTTTAAATCTTCCATTTAGGCCCCGCCCACTCGATCGGATCGGTCCCAAAATTGGCGATCGGAGCATCCCTAATGATCAGTGGAAATGACATGCCATGACATGTGACCTTTAATAAAACCGCGCCTTTTTATTTATTTACGACGAGCCCAGTTATGATGATCAGACAGGCAAACTATTAAACAATGTTATTGGAGATCGGCGACGATTTATGGTTACATTTAAATCAGTAGGGAATGGATGACCGGTCAGTCTGCTAGTGAATGAGTAGCAGGCAGCAGGCTTACACCGAAAATGTAATTTCTGAATTGGATAGTTTCTTTTTCTGTAGAGGAAGTAAAGAAACAGTAACTCAAGATGTATTTGTTGTTTGAGGTGCAATATACGACACGGCAGCTTTTAGGCATGAAGAAACTATTGTTTTCTGCTTCACTCCAATGCCTCATTTCTCCCGGAAAGTAGGCAGGGCCGTAATTTTGGCTGGAAGTAGCAATAGCGTTGCTCTCATCTATATATCGCTACTATAGCAAAGCAGCAGCATTATCTTTATGGCTTTTAATTTGTTGTTTTAGTAAATAACCTGGAATAATACAAGTCCAAACTATCAGGATGTAGTGCTCCTAACGTCCAAACATTGTGAGCCTCTCAGTTAAAACTGTTGAAGTAACAGCAAATAACATCATATTAAGTTTATCATCAGTTTGGTTGTACTTACTATTGTGGTGTTACCCTCCTGCTTCTCCACCACTGAAAAACAAACATGAAATGATGTTAGGCTTCTGATCTGAAACGTAAATGGAACAATGTTTTACTGCCTTCCTAATCTTTAGAATACATTGTTAGCTTTTCAGTGATAAATGCATCAGTTAAAAAAAGATTTCAACAGCCAGTAAATGTAAATATATACTGCTATACACACATACATATGTATATAGACATTTTGTATTTCTTCCATCATCAACATGTATGTGTATTCTATTGTGACTCGTTCCCCTTGTTCATAGACATGTTTTTTAAATCACTACATTTAAAGATTTCAAGAGGAAGACTGCCTCTATGGATTCATAGGTTGATTTCATTCATATTTTAGCGTTTGCAATAAGAGACTATTTCCTGTGTTGTACACCAGTGGTGGAAAGTAACCAAGTACATTTACTCAAGTATTTTACTTAAGTAAGATTTTGAAGTACTGCAATTAATGTTACTTACACTTCTATTCCTCATAGGTAAATATTGTACTTTTACTGCACTACATTCATTTAACATGTTTAGCTACTTTTCAGAACTTTTAACATAATGCATCTCTAAAAAATAAACTATTTAAGGTGTAAAAGAGTAGAATTATTCAACCTATAACATATATAATAAAGTTAATACTTTTATATATTAGAATTGTGTCTATCTACAATAGTAAAATGCTACTTGATGCAACAATATTATCTAATAATGTCCTTTAAATAAAAATAATAATAAAGCACACATTTATTATTAGAGAATTTTTCGGCAGAATAACTACATTTATTTGTATACTTTAAGTAAATGTTGTTGATAACACTGTCATTTTATATATTTATGTTATATTTTGAATGCAGGTCTTTTACTTGTACTCGTAATGGAGGATTTTATCATTCATGTATTTGTACTTTTACTCAAGTAAATAATCTGAATACTTCTTCCACCACAGTTATAGACGTCTATAAAAGATAAAGATAAATAAAACAAATGTAAAAAGATAAAGCAGCTGCTGAAATGCCTTTCAGTGTCTTCACGTTACCATGCCAGCTAACATTAGCTCCTTTAGCATTGGTGGGCTAACATCCACACATTTGCAGGTTAGTCTCACCTTGACGGAGGCCTCGGCTCTGGATGGTTATAGCCGATAGCTGGGGAACATTTGTCCCCTGTTGGAAAATCACATTGCTGCCTGTGGCACCTAATTTCAAGCCCGCAAAAGACGTCCAGACAGACCTCAACATACTGCGGGCTGCCATGTTTAATTCCTGACCTTCGCCTTCTTCGTGTCTTCCTGTAGGGTAATCTCGCGAGAATAAGCACAGCGCCACTCACGGTGAAGCCCTCTTATTACATCGAAGGTGTTGAAGACCGATAAATAAAATACACATTCCAGCAGAACGTGGGTTACACAACAAGTAAACAAATCCACTTAAATCCCCCCCAATGTACGTGTCGTGGCTTCCTCCCTTGTCTTTCCATCAAGCCACTAGACGCCTTAAACAGACAGTTCTAACTCGTTTTCTTTCCTTTAAATTACTTACAGTTTGAAGAGTTGCTTGGCCTCCGATGGTTCAGAATTAGAT